TTTCGACAGCTAGATATTAAACTTCACGCGTTTTCTTCAACGAAAATGCAGGACAATTTCCATCGCCGTTGCTTCCACTCGCGCTTTTATTAAGCACGTCCAGCCGGCAGCAAACTGCCACACGAATGATGGAATTCTGAAGTTTCCATCCATCTACTATGTATGCCCGTTTTTTGGTGCGCTGGACAGCACCTCTCGTCGCTCTGAAAAATCATCGTCTGACGCGGTATCACTCGTTTTTCATGCGAATTGCGTCCTTCGTCAGAGCGATGGCTAAACGCGAGTTCAGCTTTAATATGCACGTTAATAGCGATTCATTTTTTTCGCCATTTAGCTGTCCAGTGAATTACTACATAACGTTTAGACGAAATAAAATAACTTTTAGCTGTGAATCAGCAAAATCTCTCTGCTGTTCGAACCCAATATAAAATTTAAAACAAGTTTTCTAATGAAATTCTAAATCAAACGTTTCATATCGGCTGATTTCATAAAACTAGCAACAAGTCAGTAAATTGTTGATGTAAAATTTATTGGAACGTATTATCCACAATTTTGTTTTTACAAAAGCATATATTAATATTGAAAAGATAATGCTAAAATATATTACAGATGAATTATCTCATACCAAGTCAAGCGATCCACTCCGATTAAAACAACTTATACAAATTTATTCACCAATATACGTATATCCGTTGATTTATAAATCGTCATGATCGCAACATCTATATCTTCCACATACTAATTTGTATAATTGTGAATTCAACGAATGTAACGTTTTATTTACCGAGAAATACTCATCCCCCGCATTAATCCGAACAATGAAGATCGCGGTAGGTACGACCGCAGCTCGTTTATTTCCCCGGTGTACTCTCATGTTTCGTTCGACGAAATGTTTTCCATCGAATTCCACGAAAATGTATCCAATTAAAAAACTGCCGTTAATCGTTTTGCGGCGCACAATGCATAGCACGCGCGATTCTATACGATGTAACGATTATCGATTTTCCGTTTCATGATACAGCAACTCCCTCACCTCCCGTCGATCCCGATCTCGGTGAACCCCAACCGCGGCACGACGCAACAAATCGCAATTAACAAGTACTCGCGAAAATCAATAACATACACTCCTCTGAACAACTTTATCATTTAAACTGCAGGAAAGCTTTCCGAGTTCTCGCCTAAAATTATTCCTCTTTTTCTTCATCAATTTATTATGTAAGCATCGGAGATGTAATCCTGTTTGCGAAACTGTCGTAATAAGTTATGATTCTTTTTACAAGCAGTTATTCTGCTAACTCTTTTCTTTATTTTTAACAACTAACTCTATTTTTGCGATTAGATAACTAATCGCATATTGATGCTATACAATTTCCGTTAGTGAATCAAAGTACAATATTATATAATGGTAATCACACGTGCTGTGCTAATACAAACATTAAATTTAAATCGGCCGCGGGTCTAGAGAATGGAAATAACGTGCACGTGGGAAATTCAGGCTGTACAGTTTCGGTGCAAAAAGAAAGAGAAGTTCCATGCATCCGTAAGTCCCGTTGAAGAAGTAAAGATACCTAAGATTTCCCATGTGTCACCAATTTGTTAACCTGCGTCGACGACTGCTTGCCCCATGTGGTTCGCCGTCGCGGCGCATCTAATTTTATCTGTGGATTAGTCGCCCGATATATATTCCGAGATATCGCGAAATAAGCTCGGGGACTGCGATTCATATCTGGCAGAAGATGCCGGGCTGCATCAAGCGTAAATTCTAATGAAATTTTAGTCCGGCCATCATTTTACGCCGGATTATATGTACAGTATTACTTCTAATGCAGCCTGCATTGCGACGCGATTACTG